CCTCTCGCAGGGAATCGGGGCCCCCAGGGTGACGGTGGGCGCCTGGACCAGCCCTGGCCTCCGGTAAGGAGTGGGTGTGGGATGTTCCCAGAGGATCCAGTGGGATCCAATATGTGTGCCCATGGTGTCTTTGCCCCCCAGATCCCTACTCCAAAGCCTGGGAGGGATTTTCCTGCCTTCGGGAATGGCACAGCCCAGGAGCAAGCAGGATGAGGGGCTGCCGGGCGCTGTGCTGGATGCGGTAGGTGCGGCTGGGGCTGGAAAATGCCCTGGGGTGCTCGGGGAGGTGCTGGCAGCTCCCAGTACTCCCAGTGTGCCCCCAGTACGTGCAGGAGGTGCTGCGGAGCCACCAGCCCCTGGTCATCTTCCTGGAGGAGCCGCCGGGTTCGCTGCAGCTCTCGGATCCCGCCCGGCGCTGGCTGCTCCGTGTGCTGCGGGCGCTGCGGGACGGAGCCGTGCCCGACGTCCACATCGTGCCGGTGGGAATCGCCTACGACGTGGCTCCCGGCAGAGTGGGGAGGGATGGAGCGGTGAGAGGGGGCCAGGGGTGTCCCTGGTGCTTGGTGGAGTCCCTGGGAGCATCCCTGGGGATTGGTGTTCCCCCAGATCTCTGGGAGCATCCCCGGGCAGGGGCATCCCCCTAAAGCCACCGTCAGTGCCTCCCTGCCGTCTCTCCCCAGCCCCCTCAGCCCCTCGGGATCGCCGCGTGTCTCCGGGCAGCGTTCCAGGCCCTGCGCCGGCACCGTGGCTGTGCCCGGGTGGATTTCTGCCAGCCCTTCTCCTTACGGGTACGGCAGCTGGGGATGCCCCCGGACCCGTCCTGGCCCAGGGGAGCTATTCCCGGGATGTTGGTGGGTTTGGGCTGGGGTGTCTGAGGGTATCCAGTGAATCCATCCTGGGCTGCTCTGGGCTCCCCCCAGCCCTGGGGATGCAGGGATCGAGTCAGCTCGTGGTGCTAAGGGCTGTGAGCGCCAACAGCTCCTTCCTCCTCATTCCCAGGAATTTGTGGAGAGCAACCTCGTCGGGCCGATGCTCACCAGGAATCGGCCGGAGCAGCTGCTGCTTCCCACCATCCTTGGCACGTGGTGAGAAGCTGAGCCCTGGGCAGCATTTCCCCTTGGATCTCTGCTCCCGGCTCCTCTTCCTCACCCCTCTCACCCTGATTTCCCAGTGCTCCAGATGTCGGGAATGTGGGGACTTTGGGTCCTGGTGTGGGGACTGAAGAGGAGATTTTGGTGACGGCACTGGGGCTGCACGCACTGAGCGGTGAGGGGTCTGGGTGGTCCCTGCATCCCTTGGGATGGCATTCCCTGCTTGGGAATGGGGGTGGGGGTTAATCATCCCCTGGATACCGAGCCCCTCTTCCCCCAGCAGATTCCAGCACCAGCTCTGCCATCATGGCTGTGGGAATCACCGCGGCACTGCTGCTTCACAGGCACCGGGAGGTGGGATAAGGAGCTTTCCATCTTTCCCTTCCCTCAGAGCAGCATTCCCTGTGGGGATCCCCTTCCTCAGAGCAGCATCCCCCCTGTCCCTTGGGGCAGCATTCCCAGCGGGAATCCCTCTCCATCCTCCTCAGAGCAACATTCCCACTGGGAATCCCCCTGGTGTCCCTTGGAGCAGCATTCCCAGCAGGAATCCCCCCTGTCTCTCCCTAGGCCATGCTGCTGCCCTGGCTGATGCGGGATTTCTCGTGGCTGCTGGAGCAGCTCCTGCTGCGGGGCCGGGCCGTGGGGTTCTCCGGGCAGCTGCGGGTGCTGGTGCTGCACAGCCTGCGGCAGCTGCAGCCCCCCGGGGCCAGGCTGGGGCCCCCCGAGGCCTCGGCGCGGGGGTGGCTGGGGCGGCTGGCGGGGACCATCCGGCACCGCCTGGGCGGGGAGGCGGCGGGGGGTGAGAGAACGGGGGGACCGGGGATGGCGGGGGCTGGGTGGCAGCAGGGATGGTGGTGCCGGGCCCTGGGGGCACTGGGGGGTCAGAGATTTCAGCAGTTGGTGGCAGCAGGGATGGGGGAAGGTGAGACTGCAGACTGGGGACTGCGGGGGGTTTGGTGACCCCAGGGGTCAGTGGCACTGGGGACTCGGTGGTGCCAAGGGTCAGGGACGCTGGGGAATTGTTGACATTGGGGAATGGGGATGCTGGGGGGACTGGGGACACCAGGGGAGCTGGGGACACTGGGGATCAGGAATGCTGGGGAATTCGGTGACTCCTGGGGAGCTGGGGACACTGAGGGTTGGTGACACCCCTGTCCTGTCAGCCTGTGCCATCCGTGCCCTGCTGCTGGAGGTGCTGCCGATCCTGGGGACCCCCTCCAACCCCGCTGCGATCGTGCTGAGCCGGGAGGAGCTGCTCCGCAAGATCCTGGAGGTGCTGCTGCTGCTGCCCCCCACCCTGCTGGGGCTGCAGGTGGGGACACAGGGGGGACTGTCACCCCCACCCTGCTGGGGCTGCAGGTGGGGACACAGGGGGGGACTGTCACCCCCACCCTGCTGGGGCTGCAGGTGGGGACATGGGTGGCCTGTCATACCTGTCCTGTGTCCCCAGCCCTGCCAGCCCCCCGACCGCCACAGCCTGGACATCCTGGACAAGCTCATCCTTGGGGGGCTGCTGGAGGAGGAGGAGGTGGGTGTCACCCCGGGAGCCCTCCTGGGACACTGATCCAG